ATGTGTGTGTGTGTGTGTGTGTGTGTGTGTGTGTGTGTGTGTGTGTGCAAGTGCCGGTGGTATGAGTTTGTGTCTGCGTATCTGTGAATGGGTGTTTTTGTGTATGGCTCTGTGTACAGTAAAACTCAACTATTATAACGAAGGCAGGTCCTTCGGTTTCGTTGAATGCAAGTGTTTGTTATAGCAATTTAAGCAACAAGTTGTGTCACACAATGTAGGACTTAATACACTACAATGTCTGTTTCCACAGATTAGTGCGCAATGCATTACGTAAATTTTCATCTACGTCTAGACTAGCCTTTCATTTCCAGTAGCCGGGTGGGGGTTGTGGATATAACTATGACGCATCTGTATCTTGGACGACCTTTTACGCCTGAAACACTTGTGCCTACTAACCCCCCCCCCCCCCTCCCCCCAAAAACAACCCAAAAAGAACCCAACCTCTCAGACACATGCACTATCAGCCACCTGACCGACCTCTCTTGACCCTGCCTCACACTAAGACATGCAATGTCAACAACTCGCGTGTTGGTGTGAAAGAAGGATTCTGATTGGACGTGTCAGACGAACGCCATAGACTAGGCTACGGATGTAACGATCCAATTTATTTAGAGCTATCGATGATCTCTTAGAATAGAGATTATCCGCTTATTTACCAATTCGCTGAATCCGAGTTAGTTGATTTTAATTAATGAGTTTTTAAAAAAAACGAGGAATCTGCATCTTTTTGTTGAATCCGAGTTTTCCTTGACTTGGAATTCCTTTGTAATTTGATGACATCTGCAATGTGTGTGTCTACACGGATGAATAAGATAAGATAAGATAAGACAATACTTTATTGCCCCAGAGGGAAATTTTCCATAGCTGTACAGGGCCGTAAAACACATCCAGGTATACACAAGAATTTAAATTATATATTATTCTAATTAAGATTCAATATGAAAAGAACAGTAAAGCTGACAAATATAAATGGCACATCGAAAACATCATTCAACCACAAGTAAGAATTAAACTACAAGACTCTTTGAGCTATATAGATATATATTCGAAAAAGCAATACACATTGATGTTTATTTTGACAGTAGCCTTATACTAGATTGTAAAAAACTATTTTTGTATCTATATTTGTTTTTAGAAGCTTAACTGATTACATAAACAGTAGATAAAAGAAAAGTGGCGTGATGCTAGGACAATGTGTTTGACGACAAGATTAATATACATTGGTAGCAGTATTGTCTCTTTCCTTTAGTAAATTTTATGACTTACGCATCTATCTATCTATCTATCTATCTATCTATCTATCTATCTATCTATCTATCTATCTATCT